TTGAAAAAGACTAAAGTTTTTGATTTTTTTCCTGTTGAAAGTTGACTAACTGTATTCTCATCTCGTATAAAAAGCTTCAATTTCGCTCCAACTTATTTCTGAAAAATCTCCATTCGAACTTTAATCCCGGCCGATAACTGCTACCTTGTCGTAGTGGTCGGGCTTGAATACTGTAATGACCCAACATGCTAAACTGACTGAGACTCTGTCCCTGCAGGTCCTACCTACCAATGTCAGGAAGGTTGTTTGGATAGCGGCTAAACTAAAAACAGTTACCATGGGGTACATGAGCTCCAGAATCCAGTCGGATCAAATGGCGTATGAACCCATATGAGTCACCGGAAATCATGGGAATGCAGCTCCTGACGCTGCTCCGTTACCTTTCGGATTAGACTCCAAGTCAAAGGCTCGGAGGATGGTCCCTTAATAAAACCACCTGTTTCGGTCTGGGCGCCCGGGTAGTATCTCAGCCCTCACACAATGAATTCAATGAAGCAACAAACAATCAATGAAACGTATCGCGTGCTATTACACGTGTTGCGATTTCCTTCTTTCTTTCATTCCCGATGATAGTTAACGAATACTGTTTGAACTTGTTAAGCATGACTGTTTACCTTCCAGATTAAGTTCTTTATCCGTTCTCTCTCTATATATTTTTTCTCTTCTTTCTTACTTTTTTCTTTTGATCTATGTTGTTTTATTATTATTGTGTGGCGCATCCTTCTTGGTGCCATATTGTACCAAGTTTTTATGCGTTTAAATAAATAAATAAATAATCAATTCGAACATTGATAGAAAGAAGACCAGCAGTTCAGTGAAGAGTCTCTTTTTTGAGGCGAATTCATTTTCTTAGCTGTACAATCGCAAATACATTTCTAAGGGTTATTTTGTATGTATGTGTACATTAAGCTTGTCAAACATAAATACAATTGGTTATGGTTATTTTAACTAAACAAGTGAGAATTAGTAAGTTTTGAGTGGAGTTACGTAATACAAAAAGTATTCAGAGGAATTGGATGTTGATATAAGAGGGTAGTAACAAAAGTGATGAGTTGTCACAAATGATTGTTAAAGAAGAGAGTTACGTAATATAACATGATGAATAGTTTGTTAAAAGAGTTGTGCTCATGGTGAACATGGAAACAAAATAAAATACGGAATTACATAAGAACTTTAAGGGAATGCAAGAGTTGTAAGTAGTTAGAAAAACAAGCAAGAAAGCAAAAGTTAAGTCAGATCAACATGATAGTAGAAGTGTGGGGGTGACTAGTTTTCTTTTGTTTGCATAGTTCTGGTTCTTCTAACTGAATGGCTAGGGCTTCTGCAATGCAAAGAAGACGGAAACTTATTGTCTTTGGTAGGTTGTTCTTCACCTGGTAGATTACTTTGAAGGAGACATTTATTGAGATGATATATAACCAGTGGTGACGAGCTGTTCGATTATTACACTCCTTGTACGGGTACTACTTCCTTTCTGCAGACATGCTGTGGATAGTGTTCTTTGACACTTTCTGACAAGATGCGCATCGAATGACTGATGTACCTGCCTCCATATACATACAAAATAACCCTTTTATATATTTGCGATTGTACAGTTAAGAAAATGAATTCGTTGAAAGGAGACTTCTCGCTGAACTACTGGTCTTCTTTCAACTTATTCAGTCTGAGCAACACGAAATAGTATCAGCAATCATCACAAAAATAAGTGCGACACATGTGTTCCGTCTAACTGAGTTCTGATGGAGAAAATATGTAGCTCAGGTGAATGGTATTAGTATAGTTGTTGTGTTGTCTAGTGGTGCTCAAACCAAAACATGGAATTGGACTCATCAAATGTTTAACAGTTAGTTTGAGCCAGTCAGTCATATAGGGAGGTGTAGACTACCTGGCTTGTCGGGGTCCCATGGGATGGTAAGAAGCAATGAAGACTGAAGACGATTGGTGATATGGTTCAAAATCATTCTCAACTGTAGAGATGCATTCACTCCTTGTGATCTGGCATATTCATTAAAATCCAATTGTTTTCCCGTGTTACTACTCTTCTACCTTTACATTTGTACTTATTATCGTCTTTTAGAATCCCTTTTTTCTCTTCCTTTGTGCATGCAGTGTGGCAAGTCGAACTGCTGCACTTCTGTACAAAGTTCTGTGTTGAAACCAGTCAGTTAGTCAGCCAGGCGTGTGTTTTCTGAGCTGGATGACTTAATTGGCTAAGTTCCTTCATTGTCTTTCTAGACGATTCTCTGTGCGTCGTTGGCACAGTGGTTAGGACTCTCGTCGATCATGCACATGGTCTGGGGTTCGATCCGCTACCGACGCACACTTGATATCTATGGTCGGCCTACAAAATGTGGGCTACCGATATATCCACGCAGAAAATTCCATACGTGTACCAAAAATACGGTGTGGAATCAAGCTGCATTCAAAAATCAAAATAAATAAAATAAGTTGTTCTCCGAATGTGAAGAACATACCTGAAACCACTTCAGGACTTTTGAAAACCGTTTGGAATCGATGTCACCCAGAAAAGCAGGATGTAGTCTCTTCAGTCTTTTTATCATATCAACCAAAACACGCAACAAGGGAAGGAGAGAAAAAAAGATCCAACACTATGTACACGATAGATTACAAAAACTGTGAAAAACACACTATGCTGAACAGAGTGGTGAACACGTACTCTTCATCTTTGCATCCACAGACATAAATTGGCTGTCAAAAACAGACACGACATCCATTCCCTCGTGTCATTACGTCGAGACAACCGCTAACATTTACAGAAAAAGAAACGAAACATCAGAAATGCTAGAGGAATCTTATAAATCTGATACTTAGTTGAATTTGAAATCGACAGACATACTGAAATAGTTCAACGAAGAGTTTCTTTTCAGCGAATTCATTCACTTAGCTGTACAATCGCATTTATGCATAATTATTTCTGTATATATATGTGTGTACATTAGGATTGTCAAACAAAAACAAAAATATTGTTTATGTCATCAAAATGTTTGAAAAATGTGATGAATAATCGAAGTGTAAGTAGGGGGGTGAAGATTGGTAAGTATTTACAACGGTTGCGTAATATGAAATACACTCAAATCAAATTTATCAAATCATGAAAATGAAGTCACATGAATCAAGGGTCAAATATCAGGTCAACAGAATAACTGATATCAATATAAACGACGATCATATGGGTAAAAAGACGCCTGACAACAACCAGCCGTGCTCACAGTCATTAGGAGAGTTTGTCTGTCTGTTTTCAACATAGAACTTTGCACCGATGTGCGACAGTTAGAGTAGCCACACTCCATATAGCATACAAAGAGAGAGAGGAAAGTAGAAGTTGATGCATAATAGAGGCAGTAAACAGAGGTGTGAGACAAAGGAATAGTAATAACGAAGAACAATGTAGTTTCATTGGAAATCATAAGTCACAAGGAGTGGATGCATCTCCGCCAGCCGGTCATTGAGAATGATTTTGAGCCATGTCACCAACTGTTTCCAACGATTGGTTTTTACCGTCCCGAGGACCCCAACCAGCCAGGAAGTCTACACTTTCCTACGTGACTGGCATAAACTAACTGTTGTGGATTTCATTGACTGAAGAAGTTATGTTTTGGTTTGACCACCGCTAGCTCTTTTCTAGCATGACTAATTCTATGTCAGCTAACATCTCCCATCGATCGAGGAAGGCGATGACTAGGCATACGTAACACATGTTCTAACCATCTCAATCAGTCGATGTAATTTCACAACTTCGTCGATTGATCTCCCCTCCTTACCTAGAACTCGCCCGACGCCTTACCTCAATATTGCTCACCTTATTATACCACTTCACACGGGATATAGAACGCAGGCACCTATGATCAAAGACAGCTAGTCAGTCTTTTCATGTCTTCCACTCTCAATGGTCGTGTTTCACTCACAGCCTTAAAGCAGGACAGAGCAGACTGATGAGCAGTACACACGCCCTTTGGTTGATAGCCAGCCGGATATCGCCTCTACGCTAGAGACGGCGTAAACTGGCATACGCGAAACTAGCCGTCTGTATCCGTATTGAGATTTCGTCAGAGATCAACCCGTTGAGACTGATCTCTGACGAAAGCTACTAAACTTATGGAGAATTCTAAAAGTTCACTTCATACTGAAGTTGGTACTGAATATGTTGTCTTGAAAGGCAACGAAAGCTTCTCAAGCATACCTTGTATAACAGACAACACTATATATATATATATATATATATATATATATATATATATATCCTTCTTTAAGAGTTTGACTGTAATAAACTTACAGGGTGCTCATTTTTTAAATTTTGTCAATAAAATTAGGATTTCTATTCAAGAGTTTATAAATACTGTGAGTTTAATAACTGGATAATTTCAAACATGTAACTTGAAGCTATCAATCCTGGTAACATCGATGAACCCTCTGAAGAAGCCTATGTTACCGAAATGAGACTGATCAATTCGATTTATATATATATATATATATTAACAGGAAATCGTAAACATAAATCAGTAATCAAGTATTCGTTTGTAGGAATTTGGTTGATTGGTAACAGGATTTCATCATCTTCAGCGTACTGATGAAGAGTCACAAACTAGGACGAAACAGTTGTCCAGTACTCTCAGGTTTTCTAATGGTTCTCTAACCAATGTCAGCTCGTGATAAAATCCTGTAATAAATCAGTAACTTTAAAAGCATATGCTGTTGTACAAGAGCTGATTACCGTGACCAATTCGCCTAGTGGTCAACGCCTTCGCGTTTGAAACACCTGGTTGTTGGACTTGAGTGTCAGTAGGAACACAACGCTGGGGATTTATATGCACCCACTCAACGAGTCTTGATGAATAAGTTGAAAGGCTTGCTGTGAATTCTCCTGATAATCACCACCAAACAAGTTCTGTGATACTTTCTTCATTCTTTTTGGTATTTTTAATAGAAATGTAATGTACTTCAAATTAATATTGTTTTTTTGTCGACCATTTTTCTTACAGCCGAATCGATTTTATTTTAACATTGAAACCTGTGGATCACTACACCCAAGAGCCATCATCTTCTCTGGTTTAACTGTACTGAAAAGGAAGCTACAAAATCTCTTGGACAATTTAACACAAGAAGGTCTTTAAACAAATGAATAACGATTATAATTGTTGAAATATTTTGTAAATAACTTTTTAATTAATTGTAATAATATTTATACACAATAAAAAGTTTCAAGTTTTTGCATATAGTTTACAGACTTTATAGAGTTGTGACTTATAGGTCCACGGTTCGAACCCTTCTCCACCTACCGATGTGTGGGTCAGTTGGCGGCAGTGTCCATCAGCCCTCATCACACAATACGTGTTACTCATTGTCAACCTCATGGAATATATACAAATGGTTGAGTGAGTTGAGTTTAAAAACTGCATTGCAAAACAGTGACAAATAATAGTAATAATTTGCTTTATTCCAAAATTGTACTTGTGATAGAGAATGGAATTCTCAGCATTTTACTACAGTATTGCATCCAGTTAGTACATTATCAATAAATAAAATTCTACATAGATTAAAGGTATTCTCAGTTCATTATGACAACAACATATTGGCATGTCGGTAGCATAGCCGAAAATTGAACAGTGCTTGAAGGTAGATGGTAACATATTTTCGGGTGTAAGCAGAAGAAAGAAACAAAGCAGCACATAACAGAAAAAAGAGAGAGAAAAGAAAAGAAAGAAAAAAAAACGTTGTACCTATAAGTGATATGAGTTGTAAAGACGAGATCCAGTTGTTCTACTAACTATTTAATAAGTTAAAGGTGTCACACCTAATGCTTTCTTTATCGCACAGAACACGAGCTGTGTAGGGTATGGTTGAATTTTTGTACTTGCTAGTGCGAGCATATAGTTTTCTATATAGGCCTCTGGTTTGCCTGCCTGATGAGATACAAGGGGAGAGTTGTGAATGAAGAGTGTATTGGTGTGAGTTAGATAGAATAGATTGATTTAGCCCATTTTCCACATGAGTCCAAGTGCCTGTCGACCAGAATATTAACAAGCTGGTTAATTGGCACTCTGTGGCTTACCGTGCTGACAACATTTAACATCCTACGTAATAAGGTATAGTCTTTCTTCAGTAGCCAGCCCTAGAAAAACTAAGGGGAAACAATAGAGAATAATAGGCAGAATACGGGAGTTAACGAATTGTAGGAGTAAGGGTTGGGTTACATCAGAATGTCTTAACTTTTTGATGTAGATGGTAAGACGGAATATTTTCTTCGAAATCATCAAGATATGAGACGACCAGGAATGATCAGCAGATAGAATGACGCCTAGGTATTTAATTTCTGACTTGGTTTCAATTTCAGTGCCATGTATGTTGCACACCATGTGAGTTCTAACCAATTTGTTTAGGTCATATTTATGCCTAAAGGTGAAATTAACTGTTTGGCATTTAGAGGGATTTAAGGTGAGACCGTTTTCCTTGGACTATAGGCTGATTTCTGATGAAAAACCATTAGTTTAGAGCAGTCACTTTGACATTTGATAGGCAAAGATACAGTTAGGTCGTCAGCATATTTAACAACAAAACAAGACAGTTCAGTTCATCCGGTTTTAAAATATGATGGAGAGATAACAAGAAACTTTGAAGGTAATCGCCGCCCCCATTCTCCGAAATCCGAATTTTATTATCATCTGTATATATTCTGTCAATTAAAATAATCTTGCATTTTGTAATCTATTGACTGCTTGGTCATGAGTTCGAATCCGATCGTGCTGCTGGGATTTCAACAGTCACTTAGTATCTTCAGTCTAGATGCAGAGGTTTAGCTCATCGTTTATCAGTATAGATGAGTTGACACAATATTTAGTATGAATTAATTCTTAGCAAATCAATAAAAACTTTTCTCTCGATTAACAACTTAGAATTTCTCTTGATCTGTATAATTAAGATTAGTAGTTTAACGAAGTTTTTTAGTAATCCGTTACATTTTCACTAGAAGCTTAGGCAGTTTCTTCTTGATAAAGTATCATTCACACTTTATTCAAGTGTGATTCAAAATGTTATTGTCCTTCAATAGAATAGAATAACACGCCAGATATGTCAGAATAAATTCCTTATGGAAATGTACCATTTCCAACAGCCATTCTACTACACAGCATATAAAAAAGTGAAAATAACAGATAAGGAACCATAATCCTAACAAATTTTTGCACACATGAAAGCAGAGATTCGTCATTCATTCTGACCACCCACAGCTTCTTCCGACTTTATGCATTACGCCGCTATGGAGACAGATGATTGTTGGGAAATGCATTGACCATTCAAAAAACACCTTGATGCGTGAAGATTATTGGGACAGAGAGGTCATTATTGTTATATTATTATTATTGGTCCTTTAATTTCTGGAGGAACATAGGGCTTCAGCCGCGAGTCTCCATTGCTTTCGGTTTTCCGCCAACGTTTTCACCTGGCTCCAGGTTTGCCCCCATACTTTCATCTCCTGTTCGCATGACGTCCTCCTCTATGTCACCCTAGCACTGACGACCAACTCGCTGCTTCCCATTCGGGTTACACTTGAGCGATGGCCTGGCGTGTGATGTCACATGATGGTTTGTTTTCTCAGAGTATGGCTAATCCACCTCCATTTCTTCATGCATATTTGTTGTACAATTGTTTCCCGCTTGTTGGTTCGTTCTCAGAGATCCCTCACTATTGCTGATCTTTTCTGGCCGGCTATCTGATCTTGAGTAGTATTGAGTGAAAACAGCAGTTGATGGTCTGTAGTTTGTTTGAGGTGCTCTTCATGACACTCCAAGTCTTTGATCCGTATAGTAGCACTGACTTCACATTGGAGTTGGAAATCCGGATCTTATTTTTGACGCTAAGTGCTGTTGATCTATCTCCACACAGACTTGAGAGTGATGAAAACTTGTCTTGCTTTCCCAATCCTTGCTTTGATATCCTCGTCAGTTCCGCCAGCCTGTAGTTGAAACGAAGCTCCCCAGGTAGGTAGGTAGATAGGTGGTAAAGGAGGTTGCTTCTTTCAGATTTCTCCCATTTATGCTGATTGTTGCTGTTGGCCAGGAATCTTCATCACCTCTGTTTTCTCTTGTTCACCTGAAGGTTTACTTTCTCTAGATGATTCTTCTGCCAACTTGTTGCTTTTCACTTGCATATCTTCCAGTTTGTGGGAAATCAAACGTATATCATCCGCGATGTGCAAATCCTCCAAGTTTTTTTGTGTAGGTCCATGTTATGGTTGTTTCCTCGCTGCCCACTCTCTGTCGCACTATCCAGTCTATCGCAATCAGGAAAATCATTGGAGATAGTAGACAGCCAGCTTGTCTTACTCCCGTTTCCATTTTGAAGGATTCCGCGAGTTTCCAGTTGTGGCTTACTTGGCACACAGCATTGTCGTACAACTGTCGGATGAGATATATAATTGTTAGTATCACCCTGCAGTAGCGAAGTAGTTGCCAAATCACCTCTCGGTCGACGCTGTCGAAGGTCTTTTCAAAGTCGATGAAGTCGAGTGAGGTAGAGAGGTGACTGCCATTCCAAGCTTTGTTCAATGATGATCCGTAGAATGGTGATTTGATCAATACATGACTTGTTTCTCCTGAATCCAGCTTGTTCCGGTCGAAGTTTCTCATCCAGGGTGGCGTGTTCGACTCTCTTGAAGATGATGAAGCTTAGTATATTGCTTGGGATGGACAGGAGTATAATGCCGCGCCAGTTCTTGCGTTGACTTAAGTCTCCTTTCTTTGGCAGTTTGAATAAGTAGCCTTTCTTCCAATCTACAGGTACCTTGCCTTCATTCCACACCTGACAGAAGACATACTACTAGTCTATTTCCCAGATCAGCTGTCAACCAAACATTTCACCTTAAAGTAAATAAAACGTCAGTTCATCGTGTCATTATATATTTATATTTTCTAACCAATTACTGAGCTCGTGATTTTGGTTTACATCAAATGACATGAAATAGAATGTTCAAATGCATATATTATTCTGTTGCTAATGCACTGTTGAACTGTGTGAAAAGTATTTTTAACGTTCACACCAAAAAATACTATGTTTCTTATTGTGAGAGTAATATTCCGTTGGAACTCACTGTTTGTATCACACCACCCCACAATATAATTCATTGGTCGTGTAAAGAAAATATATAAATAGGTTATAGTTTCTGGTCATTTTGCCTTTTGATATGGAAGAATAAATCTTGCCTTCTTATCAAGCCAATAGTCTGCCAGTCTTTTTTGATGTCGTTGTATTCTCTCAGCTGGATAGTTCATTTGCGAAGCTTTCATTGCCCTACTAGGTAACCTCTTCAGCTCATACTTCAATTTGTTGAAGTGGGCTTTTACATTTCTCCACGAATTTATAAGTCATCACTCCAAGTGGGTGACCTTGAACGTGATTTGTTGTTTTTTGTGTGCTTTCATACCCTCCAGGCTACTTGCATTGGTACTGATTGTTACCTTGACCTTAAATTTGACCTTCTATGTATAAGATTTGTTGCTTATCGATTGGTAAATTTTGTCAGTGTCAATGTTTCTATTAATTGACGTTCATTGGAATACCAGGCTTGCCTAATAGGGCAATGAAAGCTTCGCAAACAAGCCATCCAGTTCAGTGAAGACAACTACATCAAAATTATTTATTTATTTAAACGCATAAAAAACTTGGTACAATATGGTACCAAGAAGGATGCGCCACACAATAATAATGAAAACAACATAGATTAAAAGCAAAAATATAAGTCGAGAACGAATAAAGAACTTCATCTGGAAGGAAAACAGTCATGCTTAACAAGTTCAAACAGTATTCGTTAAGTATCATCGGGAAGGGAAGAAAGAAGGAAATTGCAACACGTTCGCCATTGATCACTGCGATTCTTGGCCATATCTGATAACGTTTCGAGCTATCACTCGGACCCCAACCAGGTAGTCGTGACACACCGACCGATGCTAATCTAGCACAAAAATCCTTCATCCCACGATGCCACGTCATGGACTGACCACCTCTCCGCCTTTCCCATCCTGTCCCAGGGCTGGCTAGCGAACAGAGACCTGTACGGAAGCCTCCGGGATGACATTTGCAGCACATGTCCAAGCCACCAGAGCCGGTGTCTCCAGATGAC